AGTTTAGGAGAAGTATAACACAGAGATAGAAAAAGTACACATGACCCATAACGCTTGTGGTAACTATGAAATATTTTTTACCATGGTAAACAATGTGAATGTTGACATAAATGGTTGTAGGGTAGGTGACTAACTCTTGGAAAAGCACTTCTAGTTTTGTTAAAGAAATTTGACAGGCCTAAATTAAAGGCAATAATGTGGAGTATCCCACACAATGACTAAAGCAGCAAGTGCTTAATTACAAGGTGCTTGGAATTGGTCACATCTGTCTGTCATGCTTAGAAGTCAAGCAGACAGCCCTAAATTATCAACATGTAACATCTGGAAGGTCTCCGCAGCAAGGAGTTGCTTTGACAATTTGGGACCTGCAGGGCAGGAGAGCTAAGGGAGTTTCAGCATTGCCCTCAAGGAACTGTTGTGAATAGCAAATGAGAAAACAGAGGGGAAGATCTTTTTAGTGTATAACATATCCATAAACGCTAGTTCTTGCTATTATTATTATAGGCAGTAACAGGCCCCTTTCCTTTAGCAAGCAGTACTTGCCAATGAGAAGAGTCGGGTGGGTGGGCCTCGATCACGCCTCAACTGCTCAGTGAACTTTATCTTGTGTCTAAAATTCCACCAGGAGGAGGTGTGCAGTCAGTCCCCACCTCATAGCATTCGCTCAAAGAAAACAGAGGCTTGAGCAAAAAAGAAAAGAAGAGTCTACAGGCATCTCTTTTCAGATGGAAAGCAAAGATTATGATAACAAGGCAATGAGGAAGGTGTTTTGTAGATACATGTATTTGATGATTCTTTAAAAATACTTTTTAGAGCTCATGCTTGATGTGACTATGACAGCAAAGAAAATGATAAAGGGCAACCTGAGAAGCAGCAAGATAATATGGGTATTTGTTTGGCACAGGTACTAAAGTCCAGTTGCAAAGCAGTTATGATTTACTATTCTCCCTTAATGGAAGTACTAAAATATGTATATGTTATTTATAATGTATACAAATCTATATAGTTTGGAATCTCTAAAGAGAACCCAAGTATTTTAGGAGAACAAAATCCTGAGTAAATAAATCTACTGAAATATTTTTTCTTTATGTTCTATACTGATATACACGTGTAATTTCACCAAAAACATCTTGGCATATATTTGAGGAATGACAGAGGTGTGTGTGTGTGTGTGTGTGTGTGTGTGTGAATGTGTGTGTATGTGTGTGTATGTGTGTTCCATGGCAATGCTGATCACCCCAAAGTTTAAAACTTGTGAAAAATTTGTGAATTTTTGTAACATGAAAGAATATGAAAAATGGATCTAGGGTTGTCTTTCAGGACTGGGCCTTTTAGCAGGCTTGTTTGCATTTTGTCCTATCCAAGCTTCACGGGGTGATAGAAATGCAGTGAAACAGTTTCAAGAGGTTTTGGTTCTAATCCCAGTGCAGTCACATGTGAGCACTGTGACCTTGGACACGGTCGCTTCACCTCTCCAGATCCGGCTTTATTCATCTCTAAAGCACTGAAATTGAACTCTGAGATCTCTGCGGTCCTTACCAGAGGTAAAATTTTATGATTCTCTGTGAGTTAATTATTCAGGTCTTTTGTGGTCAAATTTGCATCCTTCATTGTTTAAAGCAGCAATAAACAAGGATAACCTCTGCACAAAATAAGAATATTCTGTAGCTTATTAGAAATAGATTACAATATTTTATAAAGAATAATTGCATGATTTGATCTAGGCACAAAGCTGAAACACTCAAAACAGAGCTATTTACCATATCTTTAAGTGTTCTTCTCGTTCAAAACAAATCCAGACACAGACTCATTACTCCTTGTAGTTCAAAGTTATATTACACTGAGAGTGCTTTGGTTAATGCTTTTGCGATAGAATGACTTTGTCTTCAGATCTGCACTGCTTCTTGTCAGCTCCCACAGCAAAGCTTGCTTCTCTTACATAAACAGAATGGATTTAAAACAAAGGCATGGCAGTGTCTTTTTCTGTTGCATAAATTTATTTGGTTGCATGTTCTATCTCACTTCCCCGGTATGGGGTCACTGGCCTGTGTTTCAATTTTAATTCCTTCACAGATGTTTAGAAGACTAATATTATCCCCAGAGCCTGTCTTTGTATAGCTCAGGGGACAGTCTGTCTTTGGATATTTTAACCTTTCTTTTCTGAACCATCACCAAGTGCTTTGCCTGTGGCCCAATCTCTTTGGGCTAAATTTCCATACAGTTGTCTGCTAGTAAGTATTTAAGCTAGTACCCACTCAAGGGCATTTGATGCATGTACTCAATACTAAAATCCTTGGAGTGAAAGGATTTTAGGGCAATAAATGCCAAAAGTGAATGCCATAAACAAAAACAAGTCTCCTTAGGAAAAAAAAATGAAGCTAAATGTCATTGTAAATATATTGATCTCTCAGAGATTCACTTAAGTATTATACATGAATATAGATTGGGCAGGTAATATGAGGATAGAAAAGGTGACCTGTATTTAAATTTGAGCTTCCAGGAAGGTTATTTCTCTCTCCTTAGCCTCAGTTTTCTAATTGAAAAGGTGGAAATTGTTGAACTTCATATGTGCTTTGTGTAAAGTGTTAATAAGAAGGATTTATGTAGAGTTCCTGGTACAAATACGTTGTAACTCAGACATATTTCTTAAATATTGGTTCCTTTCTCTTAGAAAGCTTTTTTGGGGGCGTATTTGGGGGGGTTCTGGTACCGGGAGTCGAACTCAGGACCTCGTGCTTGCTAGCCACACACTGTGCCACTGAGCTAAACCCCCAGCCCCAGAAAGCTTTTATATAAAACAGGAAGCTGCTATTTTCAGGTTTCAGGTAATAGAAGCCCACAATTAACACCAGCAGAGCAAAATTTATGACAACCAAAGAGATCCAGAGATGAGAGGCACATCTGGTTCCAGAGGTCAGCAATATCACGGTTAGATGCTGCGATACTTTTAGTTTTTCCTTCCTCACTACAAAGTGGATGAAAAGTTTCTGGATGTGGCATTCACATTTAAGATTGGAAAGAGGAAATGGTAATAGAGTGTTTGCTAGAGAATGATAAGAACTTCTAGAAGTCTAGCAACATATTTCCCTTTTAATTTTTTGGGCACATTGGATCACACATGTCTGGCTCCATGCTCTTATTTGAATAACCACTCCAAAACTCATATCAAAACATAATTACTGCTCTGAGGCTATTGGAATGGGAAATTTTTAAGATATGACTTGGTCATGAGGGCTGCACCCTTGCAAATGCATTAATGTGGTCATCACCAGAGTTTGTATTAGTTATTGAGTGTTCTAGTCAGGGTCTACAGGGGAATAGATTTAATACAGGACACGTAATTTTTAGGATTATTTTACAATATTCATCCAAAGAGTCAAATGCAAAAGAGTGTGGGCAATCTTTCCACACACTACAGACCCAAAGTATCCAACTTAAGACCTAGAGCCTGTTGCAGTGTCCTCCAAGGGTCCAACTGGAGGCCTAGAGTCTATAGCAATGTCTTACCCAAGTCTGTCTCAAGGATCTGCACTGAGAAGGCCCAGTGCCCAGTGGTGGGAGCTAGAAAATCCCCTCCAGCAGGATGAAGGATTTGTGTCAGCAGGCTGAGGAATCTTCACTGGAGCCAGGAAGTGATGCTCAGGGTAAGGACCAGAGCTCCCTGCAAAGAGAACCAGAGGCATCCTCAGTGACAGTGAGGACCCAAGCTTCTCCAGTGATGAGAACAGCTGAGTTCATATCATGACAATCAGAGAGACAAGCTTCTCCAGGAGAATCAACAGAGCACTATCTTCCCCTCCAGTTCTCTTTGTATGCTGTTCATAATGATCCTCTGGTGGGCCTGCCACAGCCAGTACCACACTGATTCAGTTCAGCTGGGTGTTACAGGTTGACCAGTAGTTCATCCACCACATTGAGGGAGTGATAAAAGCAAGATGTATCTCTTGTGCATGCTCTCCTCATTTTCTCACACCCAAAATCTCTTCCTCCACTTGATAGCTTCCTCCACCTTACAAGAAGGCCCTTGTCACACCAGAGGAGGTCCCTTAATCTTAGACGTCCCAGCTTCTTGAATTGTGAGAGGTAAATGTCTTTCCTTTATAAATTACACAACCATTACTATTCTGTTACTGTGGCAGAGAACAGACTGAGGCAGCTGGGATGTGTAAAACAGGACACCATGATATAATTAAACCAGTAATGAGCGAGTGTCTGAAGCTAACATAAACTTCACTCTGCAAATAGATGTCATCTTCTTCTCAGGTTGGAGATTTAATGCTGTGTGTTAATTTTCTTTCACTGCTAAGACAAAATATCGAACACCAAAAGTTCAAGGCGGACAGGTTTATTTAGCTCACGGTTCACAGAGGTTTCAGCCTGACTCCAAGGCCGGTGGCAGAGGAGATACAGTTCATGGCAGGGAGAAAGTAGCAAAACAGATAACGGGCGAGACAGTCCTCTTTTCATCCCTTACATTGTGTCCAGTCTACTAGAATGGGGGCGGTGCCAAATCAAGCAGGGGACTGATTTAGTAATCACTCACCCTTAATCCCAGCACCGAACCATGAATCCGTCACACAGTCTAGATACAGCCACCTCTGAGAAAGCCCCACTTATGCCCGCATGATGCTTTAGGGGGACATCTACACATAGACCATAACACTGCTATCTAGATGCTACAGAAATGAAAGAGAATGAGGATTTTAGGAACTTAAAACAAAAAAGAGACCTGTGATATTCTTGGGAACACTGAGGACCCTTGTACACTATTGGGGGCCTGTGTGACTGTCCGGAGGGGCAGCCACAGACAACGGAGGCGGTGGCTGAAAGTGCAGCAGAAGAATATGTTAGAGGACAGCTTCATCCTGCTTCCCCGCTTCTTCGTTGCTGTAGATTATCACTGCCTTCTCCGTAGGACAGGCATCAGCAGCTACAGGGGGTTGGGGATGAGGAACACAGGAAGAACTGAAACCCCAGGTGGAGTGACGGAATCAGGTACTGACTGAAGCTCGCCCTCTCCCACACCCAGGGAACTTGAACTGCATCCTAAGGCAGCTGCTTATGACAGCATCAGCTTTTTATTAACCAGGTAAAAACAAAAGAATTTCCTCTTAGTACAGGGATTGTTAGATTACACTGTGTCTTCTTGTCTGAGCTGCAGGAGGCTGTATATCTGAAGAAATCAGTTCACTTTTAGGTTACCACATTTGTGTGCATGGAGTTGTTTGGCGTGCTCTCCTTCACAATCCTTTCAGTAGTCACAGGATCTGTATCAAGACGCCCTCTTTGTTTTCTGAACCCAGGGCCTTTGCACTGAGCTACAAGCCCAGCCATTTATTTATTTATTTATCTATTCATTTTTCATTTTGACACAAGTGTCATTAAGTCATTAAATTGCCTAGGGTGGCCTCAAATTTGGAATCTTATTGTCATAACTTCCCAAAGTACTGTCATTACAGGTGTGTACCATCATTCCAGCCTCATGTTTTTATACTCTAACCTCTTTCCTTCCATCTCTCTCTTCCTTCCCTCCCTTTCTCTCTCTCTCTTTCCTCTCTCTTTTTCTCCCTCCCTTTCTCATACACTTGGCTACAAGCCTATTGATTTTATTGATCTTTCAAGGAACTAGCTTTTGGTTTTATGGATTTTCTCTATTGATTTCCTATTTTCAGTTTCATTGGCTTCTACTCTAATTTTTATTATGTCCTTCTTCTTTCCACTTTAAGTTTATTTTTTGTTCTAGTGTGCTTGGTGGAATTTTAATTTATTTTAGATCTTTTTTCCTAATACATGCATCCAAAACTATTAACATATTCTAAACCCTGCTCTTGCTGTGTCTTACAAATTTTCTACATTTTGCTTTCACTTGCATTTTGTTCAAATTATTTTTTAATATCCTCTGAAATTTTTTATTTTACTTAGAAATGTGCTATTTATCCATGCATTCTGGGATTTTCTAGTTATCTTTCTATTACTGATTTGCATTGTGGTTAAGATGAAATACTATGTGTTCTATTCTTATAAATTTGCTGTGGTGTGCTTTCTGGTACAGTATGTGGTCTCTCTTGTTGAATGTTCCATGTTAGCTTGAGAATAATACATATTCTGTTGTTGGAAGAAGTACTATAAGCAATTCCACTATATCCAATTAATGGCTGGCATTGTTGAGTTCACTGAAGTCCTAACAGGTTTTCTGTCCTTTGTTTTCTGCACTTACCCATTTCTGATAGAAGTATGTACAAGTCTATAGTACCTTATTTATCTATTTCACTTTACAGGGGTTTTATTTCTAATTTTTTTGCCTTATCTACTTTGTTGCTGTGTGATTAAGTTCATACCTATTAAGGATTCTTACATCTTCTTGGAGAGTAAAACACTTTATCATTGAGTAACATTTCTCCTTACCTCTGATAGGTAGCCTTGCTTTGCAGTCAGTTTTATAAGAAGTTAATATAGCTACTTCCATTTTATTTTGATAGGCGTTAGTATGGTTTATCATATTTGATCAATTTACTTTTAATGTATATAGGTTTTTAATATGTATTTTGTAGACAATATATATATACCGAGATCTTGTATTTTGATCTACTTTAACAGTGTCTGTCATTCAAACTGATTGGTATTGTCACATTGAATATTACCATATGTTACTGTTTTCTGGTTATTGCTTTTGATCTGCCTATTTTGTCTTCTGCTCTTTTTCGACCTTTTGTGGCTTGACCACAGTATTATCACTTATTTAATTTTCTTTTCTTTTTCCCTATCAGTTCTGCTTCTTGTTTGTACCTGATTTAATGGCAGCCCTAGAGTTTACAACATGTATTTATAATCCAAATCCATTTTTAATAACACTATACCAATTCATGGATATTGTGAGTACTATGTATAAAAAGTAGTATTAATTGCTCTGTCTTGTACCTTTATCATTTCTGCTAATTCTTATACAGTATATAGCTATACATAAACATTTGTATTTATTATATATATATAAACATACATAATCAAATATATGGATAGTACATTATTTAGAACAAACATGCTATATCAATTAAGAATAAAGTTTTATTTTAAGTTTACTTATTTCTTAGTGCTCTTCTCATTATATAGACACTAGTTTATCATCTAATTCAATTTCCTTCCAAAGTCTTCTATCTTTTCTCGGTTTGTATCAAATTTTTTGATTTTTGTTCGAGAAAATTTTCATTTCCTCTTCATTACTGAAGGATCACTTAGTAAAGGTACAGAATTCTAATTGTTTTCTTTTTTCTTTTTCTGTTATATTTTAAACATTGCTCTCCAGTCTATTCTTGAATTATTTCTGAGGAGAAGTTGGATGTAATTCCTTTTTTGAAAATTTTATTAGTGCATGTTTACAGTACATAATAATTACATTTCTTGTGGGGAGTTGTTTCATATATATAACACATTTTAACTATTTTTTTGCCTCCACCCCTCCAAAGCCTCCCTGCTCCTTCCAACTTTTGCTACTCTTCTCATTTGCAAAAGCTCTATTTTTGTTTTTTTCTTCAATTCTTCTTCTTTCTTTTCATTCAGAGATTGTCTTGTTAGTTTAGAATTCCTATTTCCAAGTTTCTTCACATGTAGAAGCAGAAGCTGATGTATCATAACTTGCTCTGTAAGGCCCCAAGCCTTCCACTGTGGATTACATCCCATCCAATCTTACATAAGTCACCAGGACATAAATAACATAAGCCTGGACATTTAGCAATTTCCAAGTATATATTTTCAGAGGGCTGCTGTCCCCAGGAAGTCAGGAGTTCATAGATGATAACAAGATACTTATCAATGGAATGTAATAAACCAAATAAAACATATTAAGTAAAGCTGAGGTATTAGAACACAGAGAACAATAAATTATGCTTAATAAATATATGTTCAAAAAGCCAAATGGAGCAGAAATTAGTAGCCGTCAAAGGAATTGAGTGGGAATGTTTTAATTACTTAAATATTTATTAAAATAATGGAAAAGAAAGGTGGCTAAAGAACAAACAGTGAATTTGAAGATTGGGGGAGTCTTCCAGAAGTCAGAAGTTAGGACAAACATAAGAAAATGCTAAGCAATTGTTATAGAAAAAACAAAACAAAACAAAACTGCAGATATGACAAAGTCAATGGTCTTGAGAAGGGGAGATTATTTTATATTATGTGAGCAGGTCCCAGTGTGCAGAGAGAGCAGGGAGAAAGGTGTAGAGGCTGCTCCTTGCTGGCTTTGAAGAAGTGGCCAGCAGCAGGGATTATGAGGACTTCTGCGGGCGGGAAGGAAGAGCTTCCTCCCCAGAAAGAGACTCTATGGCACTTTGAATTGGGGCCAGAAACATGTATGAGACTTTTGATTTCCAGAACTATAATATAATTAACCTTATTATTTTTAAGCCTCCAAAGTTGTGTGATTTGTTATTTATTATAGGAACCATAGGAAATAACCTGAATGTATAGAGGATTGGAGTAGAAATATTAACCTCTTAGAGTTAGAAAAGCCTGAAAAAGTGAAGACTCAGTATACTTATTAAAATAGGAAACATTCCTAAAAATATTAGGGAAAAATTATCATAGTTAAAAACAAAATATTTTCTAATTGAAATTATAAAGAGAAAAATAAACAGAACAGAGAAATATCTGCAATGAAATGTCTGAACTTCTTTAAATTCTCAAAAATCATCCTATAGATTGTCCTTGCTACCTACATTACAACAAATTGATAAATTAATATTTAAGTGATAGCTTCAAACTGTATTACTTGTTAGAAATGAAATCACAATTTTTAAAAAATAACACATATTCAAAATTATTTGATATTTAAAAGTGTGTACCTCATTCTCTGAGACATAGCTAACCATGCTTACATGGACACAATAACCATAATTATGTTTAAAGTACGTAAAAAGATAAGCAAATGAATTAAGCACTTCAAAAAGAAGTTGGAAAACAGAGCAACAGAGGAAACCCATTAAAACATAATTTAAAAAAAAAAAAAAGATTGCTGCGACCTGGTGAGATAGTGGGGCTCTAAGGGGGGATGACAGGACATTAAGAAAAAAACTATAGACACGTACTAAAAGGAAATCTGGGACCAGGTGGGACCCGATCTAGCTGATGGACAGACAAGCAGCATGGTCTGCCTCTTTATTTATACACTGTAAAATGGAGAAATGGGGTGTGCCACAGGGCCAAAAGTGCAAGGTCTAAGTGTTTCGCTGAGAACCCTGAAATTGAAACATTCTCAGAAGTATCTGTACTATAGTTAGCAGGGAAGATCACCAAGGCCAGATACCTGCTGGACTGGCCTTGCTCTACTCCCAACAGCTTGTTTACATGGCTCTCCTCTGGTTCAGAAACAGCTCTGCCACTTTCCACATTGGTCCCTTTTCTATTTCTTAGTGGCAAGTGATGAGCAGTCAGTTGGAGGTGTAGGAGCTGTGTTTGGAGGACTCTGCAGAAGGCCTTTCCTATGGAAGGCCATTTTATTCTCTTTCTACCAGGCCCCTGCAGTGAAGTTTCTGTCTGTGAAGACTTTTTCATCTTGAGCCCTTTTTACTCTGAGTGGAGTTACTCATTTAGGCTAAAACATTTCTAGTCAAAGGATTTTAGGTCCCTATGTTTAACAACTTAATCCTCTATAGCCCATTAACCCGTAACAGTATTTGAATTTCTTTCTATAGCTAGCTTATTATTCTGCCATTATTTTATACATCTTATATTTTTCTGCTGGGTGTTTAAGACTCAGTTAAAGTGAGACATGTATTAATTAAAATTATTCTCTTGTTATCTATCAAGGTCAGTTAAGTCTTCTCAAGAATTATCTTGGAACCAAATACAGTGCCTCTCAGTTCTTCTGTCAGGATCAGCCATCTGGATGAGTTATGGTCATTGCTTGACCAAGTGCTTTCTGTGAAAGCTTAGGAGACATTTCTCTCCTGGTGACTTTCCTTAGGCACACTATACACTGTATATCTACCTTTGTGGTGGTCCACCCTCTCCTTGGTCAGGAGGTTGTGTAACACACCAGGGTTGTAAGGTGTCACTGAAAAGGTTTCCTCATGTCCTGGGTCATTGTTGACCACAGATGGA